CTTTGGTGGTGGGGATTAAAATATCCGCCTATTAAAACCGGGTGAGAGAATTGACCAAATAAATCATCCCATATAAGATTCTTACTTTGGATTTTGGTACTTATGTTGATAGACACTATTGTAACAGGTTGATAGCTTTTATGGCCACTATTTGGATGGAGTCGGGGAGATAGGACTCTAGGAAGCTTCTATTGGCAGGTAAGGAACTATGTTCCTTTGCATTATTTTGGCATACTTATGGACATTGGATTTATTCATGTCTCCATAATATTTAAATTTGAATTAAAGAAAGGTCGTTAGAGGTGAGAACGCTTATTATATCTAATTATTTTTCCTCATACTTACTCTGCTCCAGACTCAGCACTACATATTTCCATGGTTGAATGAGATGATACTATTTTTTAGATGATGAATTATTAGAGGATTCCTTTCGACTAATTTGTATAAAACTAAACCTCTTTCATCTACCATTTCTTTGTTAAACATTTTACGCACAGGTAAACTTTTGTTAAATTTGTTAAGAGTTTTATATATATTTCAGCCACTGAGGAGGCGTATTGGTTGCTATAAGATCGCAGGCGACTTTCGTGGGTAATTCCTTCTTCGGGGCTACCAGATTTTTTTTGACATATTCACTTTTGTAACCTTGGTTGGCCGAGCTCGGGTAGATCAAAGCAGTTGTTTCCTGAATTGTCGCCGCATAGGAGGGGGTGGGAAATCAGTGTCTTTTGAGCTTTCCTGAAAACCCGACAATAAGTCGTACTTATTTTTACTAAGCACAGATGCATATGTACTCTATCCATATTTTTCCATATTATCCTCGATTTTTTTTTATACCCCTCGCAGACCTTGCTATTAGCCAAGTGGTTTTTACCGCAGAGGATGCATACAATTTCGGAGTAAGGCCTAGTACATTCTATTTGGGCATGCTCTTCGCCATATTTCAAGCATTTTTGCTTGCTCCGACATTGAGAAACTATATGATTGTATCTCAGGCAGTTGGTACATTGTTTCACCGGAGGGATATATACTTAACTCGGCAGTAACTATCGTACATAGAGATGAACTCTGGAATTTTTTGACCACGGAAAGAAATAATACATGTGGACAACACGGTAATTTTAACCTGTTCTCCAACATTTTCAAATTTGCGCATTCGTTCAACCGATACTGTTTCTATTGGAGATTGCACTTATGTCTAGATTAATGTCTACATTTCTGATTACTCCTTTTTTAAAGTAAGAAATCCGGGAGATTTTCAACAACAAAGAGATTTTCTTTTAACAATATCGAACTTTCCGTTAAGTAGTTGGCTGCCTCTCTATTGGCAGTTGAGACTTTAATTCGATTCTTACCTGTTATGCGAATGTCTAAAACAGACTTTTTGTTTAACATGGGGTCCTGAAAAAACCATTTACCAAACAGCATTGGGTGGACATTGCCTAAATCTTTATCCATGCTTTCAACAAACACGAAAAAGGGTCCTGAATCATTAATATTAACCTGTTTTTCGCTAGAAGCCTATTTGTTTCTTTACGGGCATTTTCTCTCTGTGCTATCAGTTCTGATTTGCCTATGTCAGCTTTACTACATTTATTAGAAGAACTCCCTGTAAATAAAGGTTTGTTTTCGTTTGTGGCGATCTTTAAAAAAGTAGAATTGCTTATTCTTATAACATCTTGGAAGGAGAACTCATTTGCGCTGTTTGTATTAAATTTAGGGGTTACCGGAGGCGTGTTATTGGGGTGAGGGACCCCCTCCCCCCGATTCTACACTCATTGGGTACTTAATCTAAGTACCAGATAAGATTTGAAAACTCAGTTTATGACAAAACTAAATGAATGAATACGCTTATAATTACTGAAAATCAAAATACTTCTTTGTAAATTGATAACAAATACCAATGTCAAATGCAAATGAAAAGAGATGTAAAGAAAAGTGAATAATTTGAAGTAAAGGTTTGTCTTCTACTTACCACTCAAATACTCTCGGCGACAATACACCAAACCCGCTGGGCAGCAAAACACGTCTTTCTCGGTCGAAGTCTCGAGCATCGAAGTTCAAAGTCCAATTTGATGCATTTATTTTCCGAGAACGCCAGATGTATTTTTTACCCGCTCTCCCTTTACTATCACACACCATATGAAAAATTAATGAAAAAAACGTTATATCAAACTAATCACGGGTACAGAAGGAGCACAAAATGGTCCAGATTAACATAACTTACATATATAACAAAAATAATAGATGTAGATGTAGATGTAATATTTCAGGGTATGGTATACCGCGCCCTTTGAGAGCTATTGTATCCCCCGCTCTCTGCCTAAAGCACATCGGTGAGTCCTATTTCATCAAGAAACTTGATTAATAGGCCCGGTTTTAATGGTTGAAGCTCTTCTATGGTCACATTGTACATCCCAAAACATATCCTCCTGCGGGCTAATGTAGCTCCGCAGTTTGTTAGTAAGTGTGTTGGTGTCTTTTCTGCTTCCTTGCAGAATCTACATGTGCCATCTTGGATTGTTCCAATTTTCTTTAAGTGTTCATTTAATCTACAGTGTCCTGTTAGGAATCCTGTTAGGATTCGCAGTCTGTTCCTGCTTCCTTTGACACATTCTGTGATTTCTTTCTTGCCAAAATTGGTTAGCAGATTCTTGGATTGTCTATGTCCAATGAGTGAATTCCATTGTTCCTTCATTTTATTTTTGTCCTTCTGTCTGAGATATTCGTTAATAGTGTGGATTCCTATGCCACAGAAGGGTTCGGGTCATATCAGCGGTGTGGCAGCCCCTTTCCTTGCAAGGGTGTCCGCTTTCTCATTGCCTTCTACTCCCATGTGTCCTGGGACCCAGCAGAGGCTGAGTTTATTCTGCATACCTAGTGTGTTTAATTTGTTTTTGCAGTTCAGCACCATTCTTGGTCCTTGAACTAATGATACTTGAGCTTAGTGCTTTGATGGCTGCTTGACTATCTGACATGATAGCTATATTCTTGTTTTTGTATCCTTTACTTAGATTGAATTGGATACATCTTTCAATTGCGTGAATCTCAGCTTGGAAGATACTGGTGTGTTTTCCCATGGGTTCTGAGTATTTGGTTCCGGGTCCGAATACTCCTGCCCCCGTACCTTCTTGTGTTCTAGATCCATCTGTGTACCAAATCCACTCGGACACTAACTTCCCATCTCAACCCCATAGTTTGAATTTTCCCTCCTTTTTTGCCATTTTTCAAAGTGTCCGAGTGGATCGAGGTCACGATAGCTCAAGTGGTAGAGCAGCGGCGTATATATCCGAAGATCGTGTGTTCAAATCCCGCTCGTGACACTGACTTTTTTATCTCAACTAAAAACCTTTATTAATTGGTCAAGTGGACTACGAAAACTAGTGAGTTCTACAAAAAGCTTGTAGACGATGAAGGCAGATTTTTTAAATTTTTCAAATAGTCACTATCGCACTAGTTTAGACACTCATACAAAGCGTGACAATGCTACAGACACGGACAGACATGTGTCAGCACAATTCAAATATTTTTTACGACCATACTGGCCGATGCTGGCGCGTTCTGTACGTACACGTTCCTCTCAATTCCTGTAGAAGTGAATACTTATATACACTGATGGAAAAAATCAACGAACCACCCTTAATCTTTAATGTATTAACGTTTATTTATATTATGTATAACAAAAATAGGTTTGGTTATAAAAATAGTACATATAACAAGAAAATATTTATTTCCTAATTTAAAAAATTATTCAGTAAAGAATAAAAAAAAAGCAAATCGTAAACAACAAAATGTAGAAAACAAAACTTTTTGTCCACTTTAATATCGAGTAGCTATCAATTTTCTGAGACCACAAGGCAGCGTAGTTGTGTACTCTTAATTTAAACAATTACAAATTCACTTATAATCATCGGTGCTAGACCGTCCAAAATTATTCGTTTGAGTCTTAATGACATACCACATGCTCTTCATTGAGGGATGTTACCAAGATTAGGAAAGCATTTACGATTCCAAAAGGAAATTTTTCCACCCTTTTCCGAAAAACATAAATGAAGTTCCCGTGCAATTGCCAGCATGGATACAAAGACGAAGAAGGGAGAAAATTCCCTAATGAGGAACGATGCAGAAACAAAAATTGTAATTTTCAGTAGTTCACACAACCTTCTTCCTACTTTCGTTGGATGTAAGACAGTGTACATTGATGGAACCTTCGAGTATTGTCCGAAGTATTTCCTTCAGTTGTTTTCTGTGCACGGTTACTTGAACGGTCAAAAAAGTATGAGGATTGTTTCAGAGCTATCATAGATTGTTATGAAAAAGTTCTATTACGATTCGAGCAAAACAATCGATTTTGCAATGTGCACACACCAGGCAATTAGGAAAATTTAGCCGCTTGGTAAAATAAACACTGTAGGTTTCATTTGACAAAAGCATGGCGGGAGAAAATTCGGGTGGTCAATTGGTTACAAAGAAAAAAAATGCAACTGGATAAAATGGCTTCGGTGGTGCTTTAGTTTGGTTTTCCTTAATCCTACTGAAGTAGAAGACTGTGATTTGCTGCCGCTACGACCTCATGGCAACGACGAAGGATGTTCAAATTTGAAAAATACTTAACTAAATGTACAGATTTCCTTTTTATACTTTCGCGCAGACTTGTCTGTAGCCGCGAACGAAACAACAAATTCGTGAGAATCATATCACGTACACCTTGCGAAATCTTTTTACAGTCCACATCCTCCCATTACAACATTTGTTCCAAATCTATTATATATCGTGGTCCGATTGACCAAATAACTTCTTTCAATTAATTAATCTTTATGTAAGGTATTGGTTGAAATGAAAAAGCTAGTGTCACTAGCGGGATTCGAACCCACGACCTTCGGTTAAATACGCCGCAAAAAGGAAGACAAAAAGGAAGGAAAATTCGAAAGGTTCTAATTCCTCGTCGACATCGAACCAACAACTGTTGATATAATATATAGTTATTTTGTGTTTTGTAGATTAGAAATGGATCTATCTAAAGTAGGAAGGTCAACAAAGGAACCATGCTGAAGTGGTTATCGACTTACCGTCCAAATTCAACATCTAATATAATTACGGAAGATCCTTTAGCAATTATTGGATCACAGTCTAAAGTCAATGAAATCTATGCAGTGAGCAGGTACACTGTTTAAAAGTTTTATTAACAAACCGTTTTATTATTATAAGTTTTTAAGTTTTATTTATTTCAGAATAAATCCTCTCTACGTGGACGACGAGTACTGCGTGGGTCGTAATGACAATAAAAAAGACGGTTATAAGATATCAGTTGAAACCATCAGCTTGGACGACGAGGCTCAAAAGGCCGCCGAGGACAATTTCATGAAAAGGGTCAGGTATCCTTTGAACACGATACCCGAGGACAGGATAGACGCGACCGTCCCTCGTCCAGTTTGGCCGAAAGACGAAACGACACAGCTTATCGATGACGGATTCAAGACAGATCTATCTGCGAAGATACATAGGAAAGCACAACGGCAGATGTGCCTCTTACAGGATCCGACGTTCTTGAATTCGAAAATCGATTTTGCCACGAATAAAGCCGTCGCCGACCAGGAGACGGGCGTGAATCTGTCAGACGATGTGGACGCAAAAGATTGGCCAGAAAGAAAGCTGAAACTCATGATAAATGGGGACGTCAAAACAGAAACGAGGTCTTCAGCCAGCAGCAGCGGCTTCTCCGAACTGACGGCTTCTTCCTCTGCCCAAACCCTCTCGAAAGTCTATTCATCTTTGCCCCGCATCAAGCAGTCCTTCTTAAACGCCAACGTGGTGACTGGTCCCTTGATCGCCCATTCCTGCCCTAAACTTCCGAAGGAAATTTTCGACGAAAAAACTATTCACTTCTTTCAAAAAGAACGAATGGTGATAAAAGTAAGTTTTTAATATTTTTTTTCTTATGTGCGTGATTTTGTGACCAAAACGGTTGGAACGAATAAGATACAGATTCAGACGTTTAGTTAACCCATATAACCACTTGTTAATTCCTGGTTTTACTGGAAGTTTATTGGACGATGAGCAATGGCCAACACGAGTGCGTCAGGTTTTGTCATTAAACTGGTTTGTAAAAAGTTGTTCTCACGACAATCCTGGTCTACATATTCTCGCTCATGTCTTCTTCAGTTGTAATATTTGCTTATTTTTAGCTTTTATGGTTGTATTTATTCCTGAATTATTTCGTTTTTATTTTGGTTTGTCAGAGTCGTTTCTGCTTCCAGCATCTTCTGTGAGTTATTTTATCTGTCATTTCCTTTAACGAGATTAGACCAGTTGGTAAGAAGGAATTCTAGAGCCCAGTGAATTCAGCCCCTACGGGTCACCAATTGACCCAGTGCTAAAAAATGGATGGTTCTGTCAGAATTTGCGGAGATTATAAACTCATTATAAATCCTCCACTAAAAATGGACTCTATACCTCGGATTGAAGATCTGTTCCAGAGATTTGGTGGGAATCGGGTGCCAAAATGGAACTGTCTAATGCATATCAACAGTGTGGAATAGAAGACAGCTCAAGAAACATTACGTGGTAATAACAACTCAAAAAGGTCTTTACAGGTACACCCGCATGCCATATGGCATATCTCCAGCGCCTGCGAAATTTCAGAAGATTATCAGGGAGGCATAGATAGTGTGTCAGCACTTTTGGTCGATGTTTTTGTCGGAGCCAAATCATTACCAGAACTAAAGGGGCGGATCATCCTCGTGTTGGAGAAGTTTAAGGATGCTGGACTCACCTTATCTAAGAAGAAGTGTGAGTTTGGGAAAACTTCAATCGAATATCTAGGGTTCCGAATTGATGAACAGGGTTTGCACTCAACGGATGAAAAAGTGAAGGCAGTTCTTCAATCACTCAAACCTTCAAACGTTAATGAACTCCAAGAATTTTTAGGGTTCCTTACTTAGCTACATTTTTATGATCGCTGCCTAGGTCACTTAATCTTCTATATAAACTGTTGAAGAAAAGTTCGCAGTGGAAATAGGATGAAGAATGTGACAAGGCCATCCAGAACATCAAGAGAGTAGTGAAATCAAATCGATCATTACCTCACTACAATCCGGTTTACTCCGTTCCCTGATGGAGAAGAGAAGCATATTACGTTTGCAAGTAGGGCACTGACTAGAGCAGAAAAGGCTTATTCACAGCTGCATAAGAATGCTGCTGCGTTAATATTCGGAGTTGAACGATTTCATCTCTACCTGTACGGACGGAAATGGACACTAGTAAATGATAATAAACCTGTGCTTGCGAATTTTGGACCTAAACGGAGAATCCCAACATGTGCTGCGAAAAGACTCCAACGTTGAGCACTGTTACTGGCAAATTATAAGTTTGATATTGAATGTGTCACGACTAACAAAAACTATTTCATTTAATTATTCTTTTTATGTAAGGTCTTGGTTATGATGAAAAAGTTAATGTCACGAGCGGGATTCGAACCCACGACCGGCTCAATACGCCGCTTTTCTAACCCCTAACTCTAACAGCTCCACATGGCCACTTCAGTCGTTGAGAATTAAATCCTTATTGCACGACATTTGAAAAATTAAAAAAGAGAGAAAATTCGAAAGGTTCAAGGTTGAGATGGGGAGTTGGTCTCCGAGTGGTTCGAAATCACGATAGCTCAAGGGGTTAGAGCAGCGGCGTATTGAGCCGAAGGTCGTGGGTCGAATCCCACTCGTGTCACTTACGTTTTCATCTCAACCTAAACCTTACATAAAAAGAATAATTAATTGAAATAATTAAAATGGTCAGTTAGACCACTAAACATAAATGGACTAACGAAAACATCGCAGATTGGCTATCACGAGCGTCACTTCCAGAACAGTCAGAGGACCTTGAGGATATCGACCGATCACTGTACTATGCTTTTGAAGACAATGATCACCTTCCCTTGAACTTGAGAGACATCCTTTCTGCGACAAAAAAAAAAAAAAAAAAGATCGCTTATTAACCAAGGTTAATACATATCTGAATGTTGGGTGGCCAGAAAAACCAGATGAAGAACTGGTTCCATTTTCCCGGCGCAGGAAAGGGAAGAACTGCATGTCGAAAAGGAAATTTTGCTATGGAGATACCGGGTAGTTATACCCACATCATTGTAGTCCGCTGAACTAGAGGAGCTGCACTCATCACATATGGGAATATGCAAAATGAAAGGGTTTTCAAGGATAGGTTGGGTTGTCTAGGACGGTCAGAATTTATATACAGCTAAGCTACGCGGATGACACCACAATTGTACCTCCTAACTCCAATGTTACCCAAGCTACCTCCAAATACAGGAGCATCTTAGGCCCATCGAAGAATGGTGCAAATTCAAACTGACCGAGGAAATGCACCCAAATTACGTTCACGTTAAATAAACAGGCTTATGCGGGTCTATACGTATATAGTATGAATATGGCCTAGAATGCTCCCTTGTAGGATGCCGCCTTATCTTTGAGAACTCATTGCCGTACATTGCCAAAGCAAAGCCCTCCTTCAAAAAGCATCCATATGTTAGATAGGATTTTAGGATTAGATACAAAAAGGTGGGAACTGCTTTAATTTGATGAGAACTCCCGGGTGCCAGCAATGGTGTGGACTGGCAGGTGAGCGGTGTGAATATACAGGATGGGACTAAAAATGCGCCCTTGTGGGATCATCGAGGCGTCAGTATCTGCCTTATGTTTGTGGTCATGTCTCCAACTGAAAATTCATATTGGCTGTAAAATCCGGTCAGATCTACAACTCTAAAACATTTGTTATATTATGGAGTGAGACAGTAATTTAAAAAAAATTGTTTTCTTTGGTTCCTAGTGTACATTGGAAAGAACGCTCTGACACGCGTAATATTTTCCATTTAGTATCAGCGCAAATATTTTAATCGAAATCGACGATCCCACGCCCTCCCATTGTTAGTGAAAATGGATAAACTTTGGTCAATATTTCAGTAATCAACGATTCTGTCCGGCTTTATGTCAACCAAATGGCTTAACCTAAAAGAGGGCAGTGGCAATATTCAATTGCTAATCCATTATGGATCGAACTATCAAGATGTTTTTTAACAAAACTTTTTATTAGTATCATCGGTCTTAAATCCCAATATCTGGACAAGAGATTAAAGCAACATATCTATGGTTGCAAAAAACCCATGCAAAATCCTACAGCACTCGCTACCCACCACTTTGAACACCAACACAATTTTGACTTCAAAAATGCAAAAATATTACATACAGAACAAAACAAATATAAACTTAATTTCTTAGCAATGTTTTATATTAACAGAGATAAACACAGCATCAATTACAGAACAGATACATGTAAACTCAGTCGCAGCTACGCCAATATCATTAACCAAATACAATATAGATAACATACATATATCATTACATTACATTCCACACATCAAATACTTTTCACATAGTCTAATTTTCCAACAATTTAGCTTTCCTTTTCCTATTTATCCCCTTTCTATATAATCCTGAAAGGATAATCTGGCCGAACTATTACCAACACATTGTTCCCCTTTGTCGGCTTTTTTCACTTCAAAGAAGCCGACGCCTTGCACAAAATTGTCTTTTATATACCGACTTCCTTCCCCACCCCCTCAAAACCAAACATATATAAACATGAAACAGCAAAATCTCACTGGCACTCTCAACACGACACACAAGGATGGCACAATTACACAGAAGACAAACACTTTGAGTGAGTAGAAATACTTTGTTTGAATATAAAATATATTTTGCATTGTATAAATTCACTTATCCACATCCTAAATGTATTTGTTAAATGTAAACATTGTTTGTAAATCCCAGGCCCTGAAGATGATCTCAATAAAAGATCGAAACGTTGGCACGATAAAGAAAATGTTTTTCTGAAACCTACATCACACCCGATCGCATCTCACGATATCTGAATAACTATCGATTAACGGTCACTAATCTCTACACTTTTAAAATATATTTACAGTATATAAAATTTCCACCGTTATATGATTTAATTGGCCAAATAGGCATAGAGGAGTATGCCCTACAAAATTTGGTTTATCCTGTTTGGTAACAGTCTCTTCCTTGATCTTCATTACTAATCGATCCGCTCATTCTCGCTTTGTTTGCATTACATTTTGGCCGTCGATGACCTTTTTACGAATGCTCAACATCTCGCAGTAAATAATCCTGCAGAGTATTTCTCATCATTCAGTACCAAAATTCATGCAAGAATTTTTGGATTTATTTTTTATTTTGATTTTTGAGAGTTACGAAATAAACATTGTGATTTATTTTTTGTGTGAAGGCTGATTCTTCTAAGAAGAGTGAATAATTGATGTGTATTTAATATTTGATGCAGTAGAAATATTAAGTTGGGAAAAAAATGAAGATAAAAAGTCAAGTCACGCTTCGAACTGCCTATGATCGTTAATAGAATCACAAAATCTTCTTCTTTCACCTTAATTTCAATAAAATTAGAAAATTAATTATACTAAGCTTTGATTATAAGACGTCGCAATTGGTATTCCACGCGCAATTAAAATCTTACCAATTAATGTTTTTTAATGGAAAAATCTTTTGCTTTTAATAAAAGATGATTTTCCCTTGAATAAATTCAGGTTTTCATCTAGTTTCATATAATCAGTAGTCGGATGTGAGACTTAATGAAATCGGCAGCGATTGGCTGAAGTACGAATTAAATTTACTCCACTATCAGAGAATTTACACCAATTAAAAACATCTGTAACAGAAAAAATTAACAAAACAAAACCTGGCGAGAATACATTGTTGTTTATTTAATAGTTCTGAATTTATCAACCGATAAATACGTTAGATACGTCTTCATTAAAGAAAAAAAAACAATCATATATATCTTTGATTAGAAATAAATCGTTGTGCCAAGGA